AATCCAAGCCCCACTTGTTCTACATTTGCCTTTTAAAACCCTGAAAAGTGTTCCTGGTGGGCCTTTCTTCCACCCGGGGTTTGTATGTAAAGTTTAACTTAAACCATTAATATAATTTCTTTTTTACTAAAAACGGAATCTGTTTTAATTTTACAGCTGCCGCCCCCCCAAACTGCACCCCCTGCACAAGTCAGCGGGTTAAAGGGTCATTTTCGGGAACTTTGTTTTTAAAAATAATAAGGGGGGTTTTATAAAGGCAAATAGATTGTGCACTCTGCCAAAGATGCAGTTGTTCGAAGCGCTTATTAATGACGGTATTAAAGCGCTGCTGACTTCCATCATGCCAATCATATACAAGCAGGATGCTTTATTATTACTTGCATGGGATTGGGTTATTGTTTGCAAAGTGACGCTTTCTCTAAATTTACTAAGCTCTGGAGCAACGCGACTTAGCAAAGTACACAGTCTATTTGTCTGTATTCTAAATCAAGCCCCATGAGTTTCATATCACTTAAAAGCATCTCCAAGCATGTTTAAGTTATGAAAAAAAAAGACAATATAGACTGTATTATAATCAATGCCCAGAATTACTTCTGGCTCAGCAAGAATGGGAAATTGAGGTGATAATGGGACAGATCGGAAATCTGCACTATCAGTGTCAGAATCTGAATCTTTTTGGACTGCAGTGGATTCGATGGTTCATGGCAAAAATGTATGTCTGACAGAGCAGTAAAAGCCGCAAAAATGCTATAAGAAAAAAGCATGGGAAATAAATTCATGAAGACGCCTTGCTGAATCCATGTTACCATTATATTGGACTGTGATATAAAATGGCATTCGCTAAAGTATACTGCTGGAAAAAATGATTTAATGAAAAACACGTTCCTGTTCTTTTTGTGGTTCAATACATTTTATTGCATTGACAAAGTCTGTTACAATCATTCAGTAATGAAAAGAAGTTACAAGAGAATTGTGGGGATTTCCTTTTTTTTCAAAAAATCATACTTCCACCCTAGGTGGATGTAGCATCGGTCTGTATGCTGTGAGAACTCAGCGATCGAACATGACCACTGATCACATCCCGCTGTGAGCAGAAACTGTCAAACACTGTCTGCTCCCTCCACTGGTAGTGCTGGGCTGTGGAGGGGGGAGGGAGCGGATCTGGCTCAGGCGCCTCAGTGGATCGCTGAGAGGCTGAAAGCCAGTTATCCGCTGCCGGTCTATGGGGTGATCTTTCCCCAGCCTTGACATCTGCCAACAGAAGGGCTTCAGCCCGCTGTCAGTTGAAAAATGGGGTCAACAGGCAGGGGCGGAATCTGACCATGTGGAAACTCGGGCACTGCCCCGAGGGCCCAGGCTCAAGTAGGGTGCCCCATGAGATGCCCTGGTACCTTTCTTTTTTTTAATTTAAATATTTATTGGTTTTTCACAGTACTAACAACAAAAACATTTTCATCTTATTCATAATAAATATACAATTATTTCTTATTACTTTATTTTTCCCCTCTTAAAACATTACCCCCTCCCCCCCCCCCGAAAAACCCCTCCCCACTCTGCATTTTTCACTATCTTTTATCCAAAGCAAGCCTATCCTACCCATCTTATCCATTCTATGACTTTCTACATTTCACTTATTCAACCCCCAATGCTGTAAAGGGGTTTTGGGACTATAGTGTACATTTGGAATTGTATTCAGAATCAAATCCTACAAGGACGTTGTAACTACCCAAATGCAACTAAAATGACATCAATTGTTTATGTAATACAGTAGTAAATGGTTCTTATGTGGTTTCTTCATTGCCCACAATTATTCAACCCCTTAAAGACTACCACTCTGAAGAACAGAGGTTCATACAGGTGCTTTCCATCAGGTATTGAAAACACCTGTGGATGTCACCGAGCAGCAATCAAGCATAATAAGCACCAATTAGGCAGCTTTAAAATGACTGTGATACTCAGCTCCTTCTAGACATTTACTGGTGTGGTTACAAACATGGTGAAGGCAAGAGAATGGTCCAGGAAGACAAGAGAAGAGGTGATTTCTCTTCACAGGAAGGGCAATGGCTATAAGAAGATTGCAAAGATGTTAAACATACCAAGAGACACCTTAGGAAGCATCATTCGCAAATTCAAGGCAAAGGGCACTGTTGAAACGCTACCTGGTCGTGGCAGAAAGAAGATGCTGACTTCGACTGCTGTGCGCTACCTGAAGCGTAGAGTGGAGAGAAGTCCCCGTGTGACTGCTGAGGAAACTGAGAAAAGATTTGTCAGATGTGGGTACAGAAGTTTCAGCCCAGACAATAAGACGCACACTGCGTAATGAAGGCCTCCGTGCCAGAACTCCCAGGCGTACCCCCTTGCTGTCTCCAAAGAATAAGAAGAGTCGACTGCAGTATGCCAAAAGCCATGTGGACAAACCACAAAAGTTGTGGGATAGTGTTCTGTGGACTGATGAAACAAAATTAGAACTGTTTGGGCCCATGGATCAACGCTATGTTTGGAGGAGGAAGAACAAGGCCTATGATGAAAAGAACACCTTGCCTACTGTGAAGCATGGTGGAGGGTCAATCATGCTTTGGGGCTGTTTTGCTTCTGCAGGTACAGGGAAGCTTCAGCGTGTGCAAGGTACCATGAATTCTCTTCAGTACCAGGAGATATTGGATGGAAACGTGATGCAGTCCGTCACACACCTGAGGCTTGGGAGACGTTGGACCTTTCAACAGGACAATGATCCCAAGCATACCTCCAAGTCCACTAGAGCATGGTTGCAGAGGAAAGGCTGGAACATTTTGGAGTGGCCATCGCAGTCACCAGACTTAAATCCGATTGAGAACCTCTGGTGGGACTTAAAGAAAGCAGTTGCAGTGCGCAAGCCTAAGAATGTGACTGAACTGGAGGCCTTTGCCCATGAAGAATGGGCGAAGATACCCGTAGATCGCTGCAAGACACTTGTGTCAAGCTATGCTTCACGTTTAAAAGCTGTTATAACTGTAAAAGGATGCTGTACTAAGTACTAAGATTGAATGTCACTTGGGGGGTTGAATAAAACTGATAATGCTGTGAGCACAGAAAAGACATTTGTGGTTATTTCATTATAACTGTTATGTTATATTTGTCTGACCTACAAGTGCCTCTTTTAATGTAAATGTAAGCAAGATGACTGAATGATCAAAAGCAATGTCAAATGGCCAAAACACTCAATTTCAGTGGGGGTTGAATAATTTTGGTCACAACTGTAATATAGCTTCTCCATCTTACTAATCCAGTTTACTCTTTCTATCCAATCCTCCTCTTTCGGTATTTCTTTTTTTCTTCCAATACTTAGAGATCAGGCTTTTTGCCGCATTCAAATAGTACCCTAAACCTAATTTCTTATATTTGCTAACTGATAGCTCTGAATTATGTAACAAACACATCCCTGGATCTAAACCGATGTTCATTTCAGTAATGGTCTCTATTAAATGTACTATTGTTTTCCAGAATATTTGAATTTTTGGAACATTCCCACCAAATATGATACACTGTCCCCACTTCCCCACATTCTCGCAACACCACTGTGATTTCTCCCCACTTATCTTACATTCTACACTTGGATCCTGGTACCTTTCTAATAGGCCTTTTTGAGTTTGGGCAAGGACACAGGGGCCCATGAACCCCTATTGCCCGGGGGGCCCCATGAATTGTCAGTCCGCCCCTGGTCACAGGAGTGCAGAATGAACTGCACTGCTGTGATCCATAGAAGTACAGCCAAATGAGCTTTTTGCTGTATTTCTCCATTAACAATAGGCACATAAACATATCCTGGAGACATATAAGATTACATAGTTACATAGTTAGTCTGGCTGAAAAAAGACAAAAGTCCACCAGTTCAACCATAAAAAAAAAAACAAGTTACAATCCTTAGTATTAGTCAACCATTTGTAAAAATGGTAATGAAAGATATTTGAAAACAATATTGAAACATTTACAGTATAATCAGGAACATACAGAAGCGTTGTTGACTTTCTTTTTATACTTCTTATGGCCTTCAAAAAATATCTTTGTTCCTCAAAGAGTAGACAAATGGGTTGAGCATTGGGACCACAAACCGTGTAAAGCAAGGCCAGCAACTTGTCCAGCTCCTTAGAACCTTCAGACTCTGGTTTGCCGTAAATTACAATGGCTGGACCATAGAATATTATTACCGTGGTGAGGTGGGAGGTGCAACTGGAATAAGCTTTCAGTCGTCCCTCCGAGGAATTAATTTTCAGTATGGTGGAGATGATGAATGCGTAGGAAGTCAGAATGAGCAAAAAAGGAAAAGCTGCAAACAGTAAAGTCCTCACATAACAGAAGTATGTTTCTACCTGTAACATCACTAGAGGATATTGCATACAGTTCTTTCGGATCACAAAAGAAATGGTCAACCTTTTGTGTGAGACAGAAGGATAACAGAGATGCGGCCAACACATTTACTGCTGCATAAGTCACAGATATAAGACAAGTGGACAGAGCCAATGAAAGGCATACATCTTTACTCATCAGTAAGGAATATTGTAATGGCTTACAGATTGCTACGTATCGGTCATAGGACATGGACAGGGTCAGTAGAAATACATCAGAAGCAGCTGAAAATAAGAAGAAGTACACCTGAGTCATACAGGCAGAGAAAAGACATCCAATGGTCATGTGTTTAGGAGTATGGAGAGAAGTTTTGGAAGAGTAACTGAAACTAATATAACATCACTAACAGCAAGATTACTCAAGAAGAAATACATTGGAGTATGGAGCCGGGGAACCAGACCCACCAGTAGAGCAATGGTCATGTTTCCAAGGATGGTCATCAGATACATCAATAGAACTGCAGTGAGAAGGAGACATTGTCCGGTTTTAGAGATGGAAAAAGCTGAAATATAGAACACGTTTTTGGTATTGTTCGAGCATTCCTCCATCACCCTTGCATGGAAAAAAAAGAAATGATAGTTTATACTTTTTACATTTATTGAACCACTTGCCATCTGACTGTTATACATAAATGACCGGCCTGCTACTTCCTAAGGGCAGGAGATCATTTGAAAATGGCCACCCCTTGTGGTTCTTGTGCATGCCCTCTAGTGTAGTGTTTCTCAACCTTTTTTTCAGTCAAGGCACCCTTTAAAAAATTATGGACAGTCCTGAGGGCACCCTTTAAAAATTATGGACACCCAACATTAGAGGTGATTCATTCTTCCAAAGCAAATACAATTTTGCACACTGGTACTGACTAGTATTCCCAGTGTTTCTCTTCTCCCTCAGTTATTCAGGCATCACTAAGCTAGTGTAATCTCAGCGCTGATGGAGAGGGGCGGGGAGGGTCAAACTAGGATGCTGCGCAGGAAGCTGATATCAGCCTTATCAACTGATGTTATTGGTTGTTAGGACGACGCCAGCGGTTAGAAGACCTTATGGTGCACAATGAAAACCTGTGGATTTGTAACTAAAAGGCGGGTTTGTTCCACCCTCTGGCTTGTATACAATTTTGGGCAATTTTTAGATATTTTGCCAAGGCACCCCTGAAGAAACCTCAAAGCACCCCAGAGTGCATGGGCACCCTGGTTGAGGAAGGCTGCTCTAGTGTGTGCATGAGTACTCTCTATAATCATTATATCCAATAGACACAGCAGATCACAAAGTGTAGGTACAGAGCCAATCAGATAGGCCCTGAAAGAACAAGGTCTGCATTTTGCTCTTTGTTTCCTTTCATACTCTGATCAGCTATGAAAGAAAACAAGAGTTTTACCGACATTTATTGTAGCAGCATCTTTGTACAGCACAACAAGCTGGCCACAGTGTCCTTGATCACCTTTCCCATTGTCACCAGATCAGTGCAGCCAACCCACATTGTCCCTGAATGCTAGCCACAACAGTCCCAGTATTATCCAGCAATACATTCCCTGAAAGCCACCAGGCCAGTTTCAGTGTCACCAGACCAGTGCAGCCAGCAACATTGGTGCTTATCAGTGCCAGTGTCACCAGGACCATTGTAAGCCTGCAACAGCGTTCCTGATTTCCCACCCCACCAGTGCCAGTGTGGGAAAGCAACAGTGTTCTGATTACTGCAACACCAATACCGATCTTACAGTTAGATTCAGATTCTGAGTATGAACCTAAGAAAGGCAGTGGTTCAATTACTACTACCTCTGGTCCGAGAATACAGGGGAAACACTATGTGATCAAGCACTGAGCATCCTACTGAATTGCATCAGGCAAGCACCAGGTGTGCGATACATCCCGGGGAGAAATGTGATAGGTAGTCAGGAAATTAGATGCATAAGAAAGCCTGAAGGTGCTCTTAGGATTTTGGCCCCTGTATGTAGCTAGGCTGCAAAAAAACCTCTCACATGTGGTATCCCCATATTCAGGAGGAGTAGCAAAATTTATTTTTTGGGTGTGATTCTAAGTTATGAACATGCTGTGTGTTAGAAAATATTTTGTTAATTGACAACTTTTGTGTACATTTTCATTTTTTACCTCATGCTCCAAAAACTTGTGATCCCTAAAAGACTCCCCAGTACCTCTTAGTAAATACATTAGAGGGTGTGCTTTCTAAAAAAAATGTGGTCATTATGTGGGTGTTTCTACTGTTCTGGCTGTTCAGAAATGAGATGACTTATTTTCACTCTTTTAAAGCCCTGAAGGTGCTCCTTTGGGAGAAACCTCTTTGTATCTAGGTAGGAAATGTCTCACAAATGTTGTATCCCCATTACAGGGTAGGAGTGGAAGAATGTGTTTTGGGTGTAATTTGATAAATATGTCAAGATGTTGTATGTGAAAAAAAAAAAATTGTGTCAAATTACTACAACTTCACAAAACTCACTATGCCTCATACTAAAAACCGTGGGGTGTTGATTTTTCCATAAATGGATCATTTTGGGGGTGTTTATACTGTTTCTTTTCGGGTTCAGAATTTTCAAAATAAATGATATAGTTTGTAGACTCTATAACTTTTTTACACAAACTAAATAATTTACTGTACCCTTTTTTTTGTATTTTTTTTTTTTCCAAGCAATACATTTTGCTGTTTTAAAGATTTATTGTAAAGTTTTATAACAGAAACTAAGTTAAATATTTTTAAAATATTCAGTCTGTTTTCCTTTATATTGTAAAAAATAAAAAAAAAACTATGCTGAATTAAATGAACAAATGTGCATTTCCCCCCAAAAAAAGTATATAAAATGAATTTGGGTACAATGTTAGCATGACCGAGTCTTGCCAGTCAAAGTATTATAGTTCTGTTGGGGGGTTGAGGACAGAAAATTTGAAATAGAACAGCCAGCACTAACACACGTGCTACTTCTCATTAAATGTAAGTACTGTCCCTTGTGCTGTGTTTTTTTTTTTTTAAACTAAAATTTAGGACTTTAGCCATTTCCAAGTGAAATTTGGTTACAAATCATAACATACAGCAGTGCAGGTTTATAAATAGGCAAAACAGTTGTGAGACTTTATTCGGCCTTTAAATTATTGTTATTTAATGAAATATACAAATTAGCTAAATTGATTGAGCATTAGTAATCTGATTCAAAGTGGGACAGTGTCACAGGAAAACCTGTCTAAAAATTAAAATCTGATTCTTACCACCCCCCTAAAGACAGTAAATCCAAAATACAGATTAATAATACATATACATACACACAGCCCAGTTAGAAATATGTTCAGGTGGTAACTGTGATTATTCATTTAGAAGTCACTTTTCATCCATATGTAAATTGCAGAGTTGTGGAAATCAATATTTAAACTATATAAATATTTAAAAAAACATACAACTTTATTTTTAAGTTCCTAAAGCTCCATGCCCCTAGCGTTTTTTTGGAGCTCCTAGAAGCTAAATAGTGTTCTCCTGTGTGTTCATGCACCTGCTTTAAGCTATTAGTGTTTCTTGAGCTTTAGCGTCTAGAAGCAGAAAAAAAAAATTGTTAATAAAAACTCACAAAACAATTATTATTATTAATATTTTTCAGGATTTATATAGCGCTTTACAACATGAGGGCAGGGACAGTACAGTTACAATACAATTCAATGTGGTGAGGAATCAGAGGGCCCTGATCATTAGAGCTTACAATCTAAAAGGGAGGGTCAGGAAGCTGGAGAAACAAAGTTTAATAACTGTCTTACAATCTCTTAGATTGTAAGCTTCCAGGATCAGGGCCCTCCTATCCCTCTTGTATTGAACTGTATTGTTGCTGTATTGTCTCCCGTTATGTTGTAAAGTGCTGAGCACAAAACTGTTGGCGCCATATAAATCCTGTATAATAATATTAATAATAATAATAACTGTGGGGGATGAGCGGATGGAGAAAAAGTGCTTTTGTTAGGTGTGGGTTGGATACTCTTTTCTGAAGAGAAGGGTTTGCAGGGATCTCCTAAAGGTGGAATGAGAGTAGGTAGATAGTTGGAAAGTTGTGGTAGGGAGTTTCCATAGGATGGGAGAGGTCTGGAGAGAAGTCCTGGAAATTCCAATTCATTCATTGAATGCTCCACAAATATGTGCCGTTGGTTATGGCAGCAGGCTTCCTACATGTCCATGTCTACAGTTCAATACCCCCTTCCCCTGAATCATGATTTCCTGTTTACTCACCCTGGACAGGAGACTGCAGGATAAAATGACTGCTGAAATTCTGCTGACGCAGAGCTCTAGCCTGACAACATTGTACAATGCAACATCATATTTGATGGCCTTCCTCTCTGAATTTTAGGTCAAGTGTTCAGGAGGATTAAACACAAATTACTTCAGGTACCTATTACTAGAAATGAGGGTTATAGCTGGAAACCTTTTCCTCCCTAACCTTTTTAGTTTGGTATGGACAGCAAATGTTACCTGACATCATGTAACATATTCATCAGATCACTAATTATTCTGCCTATGTGGTGATGAGATATATAAAGAGCGTCTGTGGGCTTAAGGGAGGACATAGATGGCATCTCAATGGGATTTAGATACAAAATAAAATTGACTTGAAAATAATGAATGCATTTGAGAATTTAAACAAAAAGTAAAAAAAAAATCATCAGATTCAGAAGAAAGTCCCAATCTAGCTTGCCTTTAGATGCATTTGGGGGTCAGGGTGACACCTGGATTTGGGTTTGTGGTGACTGCCGATAGTGCTGTTGTCTTTCATGATGCCAACCC